CGATGGCGGAGCTGCCTTATGCGAAGGCCCGGCAGCCGGTGACTTATACGTTGGTTATGGAGATGCAGCTTGTTATTGGTTTCTTCGCCACCGCATTCGCAACCGTCGGCATGATCATTAATAAGGATTTTCAGGTGCGCGTCTGCCATCGAATTATGCTATTATCTGTTGTTAATTTTAAGAGAGAAATTCAAAGCTTCTGGATATTAAATTAATTAGTTTGTTAAATTTTTCTGTAAATGAGTAAAATTATGTTAGAGTACCCTCATATATTTTGTATCAGGATGGGAATATTTTTATGAAAAATTTCGTTTATTTCACGATTTATAGTTGTTATTTCTCAATGCAATTAAATTATTTGGTATTATATAAGCAAATCAGTAGATAAATACAACTAGCTTATTGGTTAATGTAACTCGGTCATTATATTAGACATTCATAATTATCATCGTAACAGAGAAGGCTTTGATTGTTTAAATTTATTTATCAAATAATTTAGTTACGTTAAAAAATGATGCATGACATATCAGAATTTGACCTTTGCCATAGAATACTCCAATCCTGATATAAAATGTATCAGGGTATACTAAAACAACTTTTTTACTAATAAATTTATTAGTATTTATCCAATTTTAAGATTCTTATCTAAATTCTTTATCTATAACTTAAGTTTGAAATTAAAGATACCATCATATTTGAAAGAGGGTAACTATATTTGTGAATCATGGCAAAATTTGATTAAGATATCATCAAGGCACTTGAATGCGCATATACCATCTGAATGAGGGGGCCCTCTCCTGGCTGTTCGATCGGAGTGGTCTGGATTCTTTTCTGATTTATAGCCCAGAATCTATAAATAAAGCCCTGATTTTGAGAGAAGGCTAGACCAGCTAAAAGAAGATCAAAGCTTGGGAAGGAACTGAAGCTCATCATCGTTTATGCACCAAATATTTGACGAATTCCTCCAGCTCCTGAAGCAGCCGACCATTGCTGAACGACACATGTAGGTGGTCACTATCTGCCTCTATCTGCTCCTTGCAGTAAAGTCTCTTTTGGAGTCATAACATGCATTACAAAATCCCATCGTACGTTGTGGAATATAGAAGCACCTTGAGGAGCAATACATCATCTAGTACATCGTACAACTATATACCTCGAAGACGGTGTAATAACACACCGGATGCGGTGCAATAACACACCTAATGACAATGTAAACAACACAACTCACATATGGTGCAATGACATCTCCCGAATAAAGTGTAACAGTGCACTATAATTACAGTGACTTTCTCCTGACCAATAAATCTCCCGACTCTTGCCTTTGCGACATAAGGACGTCATCACAACTCAACATTACAACCTATGTGATTAACTTTGATGTACGCCGTCCACAACTTGTGTAGTGTAGCTCTCAACTCTAACGTTTATGACTTGCATGGTACATATTTTGTGCAGCTCCTGACTTAAGCCTCTATGACTTGTGAACGTCATCACAACTCACCACCACGACCTTTATCACCAAGTTCGACCTACATGGTCTACAGCTTGTGCAAATCTCAATTCTTTCTTTGCGACTTACATACATTATCAGACTTAGTAGACCTCTCAACTCCAACAGTTGTGCTCACAGATGTTATCACAGCTCATGCAACTTCAACTACGATCTCTTCGACCATCGAACATCGATCATCATAGCTAGTACAACCCTCAACTTCGACCTTTGTATCCCACGGCCCACATATATGTTACAACAACTTGTTCATTTCTCAACTTGGCCCAATGCGACCTACATACATTATCATAATTAGTGCAGCTCTTAACTATGTCCTCTACGACCTATGGAAACCATCACAGCTCATAACTACAACCTATGTGACCTACTGTGACCCACAACTTATGTAGCTCCCAACTCTGACCTCTGTGGCCTACAGACGTTATCACAACTCTTAACTCTGGTTTCTACGACCCACGAAAGTTATCACAACTCGTCCAACTCCAAACTCTGACCTTTTCGGCTTATGTACATCATCATAGCTAGTGCAGCTCTCAGCTCAGGCCTCTACAACCCATGAATATTACAATAGCTCGTGCATCACTTAACTCTGACTTCTAAGGCCTACAGTTGTCATCACAACTAGAGCAACTCTCAACTTTTGCCTCTGCAGCTCACGAACATTATCATAGCTCGTGCAACTCTCAACTCCAACGTCTGCGGCTTATGGACGTTGTCACAACTTGCCATTATGACCTACATGAACAACTATGCCGTACGTAGCTTCTTACTCGTGCATCTCCTTGACTTCCGCCCCTACGACCTACGCATCATCACAACCCACCATTATGACTTATGTGACCAACTACGACATACAAGACTCACAACTCCTACAACTTTCTGCTATGAGCTATGCGATCAACCGACACTCCTGAAGTAATTATTTATTACACACACGATCATCTACTATCATGACTTTTACCTGTGACCCATACGACAAGCTGACGTTACAACAATCGTTTGCAATATTCACAGTGAATTACTGCCTTTACAATGATCAACTTTATAACTCTTTCCTAATTCAAAAGAAGAGTTGACACGTGTGTGCTGAATTCTCACGCAACGTTAAAATAATAATTTATTACTCTAGTGCCACAAATTGTCTAGCATGCATCAACATGAATTTAAAATGATTGTAAGATCGAATAATTATATATGTATATATAATTATCTGAATTTATTAAATACATAAATTTAAAGTACATATATTATTTTTAGGAAATATTATCAAATTGTTATTTTAAAGTTAGCTATAAAGTTATTGTTAATATATAAAGTTAGCTATTAAATATTATCTGAATTTATTTAATTTTTTCTTCCCTCTTCTAATGTTTAATTATTAAAAATATATATTAAATCATACACGTATTCAAGGCTACAGAAAAGATTAATTACATATTAATTTTTCTCGAAAGAAGTTTAATAAATCAACTAATTATCCTCAATCGCCGGCATGACTTCTAATACAGGCACTGTCAAGAGAAGCAGCCAATTTCGGCTTGGGAGAGACGAAGTACTACTTGGTGCTTATTTTTGCGGCCATCTTATGGCAATGTTTCTTTCTTGGCGCAGTTGGCGTGATCTCTTGTGTGAACACGCTGCTCGCCGGAATTCTCATCGCCGTCTTCATCCCTGTGGTGGAAGTCTTGGCCGTTATCTTCCTTCACGAGAACTTTAGCGTTGAGAAAGGCATGGCTTTGGTTCTCTGTCTCTGGGGATTGGCTTCTTATTCTTATGGAGAGTACCGAGAAGCCAAGGAGAAGAAGGAACGAGCTGTTTCTCATCAGGTTCAAACTTCAACGGTTTGATTAATACGTGCGGTATATACATATAAAGTTAAATATAACTTGCTCTTAATTTGCACTATCGTCGATATATCTGGTTATAGTTTATTTACTGAGATTTTGTCTTTGACCATCTTGATCAGATAAAGAGAAATATTTTGATCCTCAAGTTAGAGGAGACTGTACGTAATGATAAAGGGATTGCTTTTTATGATAAGAAATTATGTGAAGATAAGTTGATGCAAATTAAATTATAATACAACAATAGCAACAATAAGCCTTTATCGCACTAAATAGGGTTGGCTAAATTGAATCCTTTTTTTCCATTGAGTACTATTGAGTGTCATATTTTCATTTAATTCTAATAAAATAAAGTGATTTTTTATAATATTCCGTAGTCTTTTTATGTCTACCTTTGACTTTCTTAACATAAACTGAATCTAAAATACATCAATTTTGCAAACCAAACAATCAAATTATTGATGTTTAATGTGACCAAACCATCTAAGACAACTCTCTTTGATATTGTCCGCCACTTAAGCCATATCAACCTTTGTCTACCACTGGAGTCATATCAACCATTTCATAGATAGATTTGTTTCACATTTTGTCAATAAGTGTCAAGCCATTCACGTAATAAAGCATTCTCATCTCAGCAACACTTAACTTTGTTCTATGTTTCTCTTTTAAAAGGCCAACATTATGCTCAATAAAGAATTGCAGGTTTTACCATCTTCTAAAAATTTCCTTCAAGTCAAGCAACACTTTTCTATCAAACAGTAAGCCTAATGCATTCCTCCACTTCAACAAATCAACCTGAATTCTGCTAATAACATCCCCGAGATATTTAAAATGTTCACACATTTTAATGATTTGATCACCCATAGTTATAAAGAATTCATGTCATGATTTTTCAAAAAAATTTATGATGGTTGTCGACTATCCCTCTATTTTTCATATTCGAGGCTTGAGACCCGATAATAATAGCATTAAATATAAATTCTTTCATCTACACCTTTTATTTTAGAGTAAACCCAATTCATGTAATTACATGTAAGTCAATTCAGAAACAAATTATACGATATATTTTTTTTTATAATTTTATTATTACGTTGAAGGAAAGTTTACCGCCAGCCCCTGAAACATCGAAGGAGTTCTTAAGCATATTTGGTATAAGAAATTAAATCGTGGAATTTATTTATACCCAGCACGTGCATATATATGCCTCAAAGTTGGAAACAATAATCTGATGAAAAAATAAAAAAAATAATAATAATTGGGATAAAACTTCATAGCTATCTCTCTTTCATGCACAAGACCACAGACCATAATTTGGTTGTTGACTATTGCAAAAAAGTGTATCAATAATTCTAAATGAGTAAACTTTTCATCTGAAATTGCTTTTCTCATTTTAGTGGAGGACAATTAAGACATGATGTTGATTAGATGGCTCTTTTTTTTGTCAGCTACCCTCATTCAAATTGATATTTGAGCACATTTTTTTTAATTGATATTTGAGCACAAATAAATTTACATCCAAGATACTATGAAAGTTAAATAATTCATTAGGCTTCAAAAAAGTCAAACAGATGCCTATACTTCATAAAAAAATTGAGATATGGAAAAATGTATATGTTGAATCTAAAAATGTCCCAGAGACACGCAAAGAATGCAAAGAAATAGAGCACGAAAAGGAGGGAGAGGGGAACATAGAAAGCAAAGGCATAGTATAGAACATTAAAATCACGTAACCTTTATTTAAGAAATGAAATCCCTATTGGGTGTACAATTGTATTATGTACTCCTAGATTTCATAAATATAATGGGGACATTTTGGTTAGTTCGTAAATATGGGGTTGTGTGCTTGGGAAGTTGCCCGACTGGATGGAGCCGGTTACTCTAGGAGGCGTCCGGTCGACCAGAGCCTATGATGGCTCCACCAGGTCCTTTTGGAGTCAAACGATCATTGACTGGGACCTAGAGGCACTACCGAGTGGGCTATCTTTTGAGAGCTTATGCTTGAAAGGACGGGCTGGACAACTCCGGCTGGTTGTTTTGAATCTAGAAAAATTGGCTTGATCATCTGGCCTGGATAGAGAAAAAGCTGTCAGACTTGTCAGCCAGAGTCTTGGTTGGTTGGCATTTACGAGAATGATTGAATTCTATTTGTCTCAAGATTATCTTTTTTACGACTTGTATGAGTCGGCCGGCAAGACGTGAGATTTTGGATCTTTCTTAGCTGGTCCCAGGATGCCACATCATCTCTTATTATGTCATCAGATTTTTTTTAAGATTCGTGCTGACACAT